GGGTGACAGGGCCTTCTGAGAAAGGGGGCTGGGGGCGGGGATGGGGAGGACAGGGCGTGGGCCAGCCGCTTTCCCCGGGGGGCTGCTGATCATGACTGGAGGGGACGGGGGGAGGGGGCTGAAGTTGGTAGCCGACCACACCATGGATTTGGTGGAAGGGGGGGCGGGGGGAAGCGGTGCCGGGGCAGGAGGAGCTGCGGGGTGCTTGTTGAGAGGCCGGGGGATGGTGGCGTAGTGGGGCAGCACAGGGTGGAAGGCCGAGCCCAGCGAGGTGGCAAAGCGGGAGGCGGAGTGGCGCAGGGGTGGGGTGGGCGGAGCGGCAGGGGAGGGAGAAGCGGTGTAGTCGGGGCTGGAGGATGACAGGGGAGTGGCGATGGCTTTAGCGTAAGAAGGCGGGGGGGCAGCGGGGGGCAGGCAGCTGGAGTACTCCGGAGGAGGAGTGGTGTAGAGGGTGCTTTCGAATGCTGAACATGCCAGACGACAGGACAGGAGGTAGGAGATGCAGCAGCCGTGCAGAAGGAAAGAACACAGGAGAGAAAAAAAAGAAGAGAAAAAGGGGGCAAATGAAGCAAGAAAACCAGCAAAGAGACTATCTTTTCAAATAACACTACAGTTAGTAAGAAAAAGGTTAGGCTTTGATAAGAAAGGAGAAACAAGAATCGTATGTACACAAATTGGATAACCAACAATATACAGCATACAGTGAGTGATATACAGTAGTTCTAACTATAGCTTTGACTGATTTCAGAGGATTGTATGTTTTAATGTTCTCACTAACTATACACCACAGTTTGGTAACTGTCAGGAATATACTGTCCACAAGATCCTGTTGTTGCAACAGTTTCTTTCAAAAATGTTTCATGAACGTTCTCATTTCATGCTTTTTTTTCTCCTTCACCTGGTGTTATGTCAGTGGTTTAATTAAAACCACTTCAGCTGAATTGTTAGCTCTTCAACTTGTGTACTTTTGTCTTTTCACACAAACTTTGGACAAGCACATCTCTTTTTCATTTTTTCCATAATTGATCTTAAATTATAAAAAGCTGGTGGCAAACGACAAGCTATGCAAAAAACCTAAATCAGTCCTTTGCATGTTATTTTCCCTCAAACTTTGTTTCACCGCAAAAAAGATGTGCTGCACAAGTGTGACATTCCTTAATGGAAGCATGCTTCACCGAAGCCAAACCAGTGACTCGCTGCATTCAAACATCATTCCTTCTCCAGTGAAAAAGTTTCAGACCTAGTTTGCTTAAACAAATTGCTGCAACTCAGCTGCTCCATTTCCTGACTGGATTCACATTACCTAATAACAGCGTACATGTTCAGAATGGTAACATTCCCCATATACAACTCCTCCCTTTTCATAAGAGCATTCTGATCAACAACCAGTTTCTCTTCAGTGTACAGCTGTTTCCTTACATCACCTCACTCGTTTCCTTTTCAACCCAAGACATAACATGAGATTTATTGACAGGACATACTGCCCACGTACAAGTATAAGAAACTGTAAGGTAGCAAAAAACAATCCAAAAGACAAATCACTTCACCTAAACAGTAGGATGCTACTACAGTATATCATACTGTCTTTTTGATCTTACATTAGCATTCATTAATTTTGTTCCATTCTGGTGAGTAAGATGTGTTAATGTTTCCAGAATCTTATCTATTTTAAAGAAAAAAAGGGGGAAAATATCAATCGCCAAGCACAAACAATAAAGCCACAATAACCGATGGAAGCAAAGAAGATTCACTTCACCTCAAGCAGGGTTCTCTTAGTACTGAGTTCTGCACACAGAAGTCGATAAGTTACTCTATAAAACCCCAAAACCAGGATTTTTTGGTTTTCACCTTTTTGATTTTTGCTCATAACATTGTAAATGATTCAGCTTAACTCATGCAAACCCACATCAGAGTAAGAAGAACTGAAGAGCAATCCCTGTCTCTTCTCCACCACACCTTAAGAACTTCATCTATAAGAGTATCATTGAACACCCCAAATGGTGGAACACCTTCCTGACACCAGTCTCCTCAGTCAAGCCATTTTGCAAAACATTTTAGGACACATTTTGCAAAACACAATAGCAAAACACTATCGCATTGCATAAGCCACAGATTCAGCTAGTGCATCCCTCAGATTGTTATTGTGAAATTGCTCATATATGTTCCCTTGATGAAGGATTTTTTCTGGCAACAAAAGGAATTTAGAATTTTAGATTTTGATCAATCATCACATATGGTTCTTTCTGTGGGAAAAGAAGGGAGATTCTTGATTATAGCTAATACGTTAATACATCCCCAGTGCTGATACAAAATTATGCACACTACAGTACATGACAATGACATAGCTACAATTTTACTAATCTTATGCTCGCAATCCATCCTCTATACCCTCAGGCAATTCACATGTAACATGAATTATACCTCAGCACGTGATCCAGATGGCAAAAGACTGTGCTAAATTCCAACCACATTGCAATCCCACAACTTCTTACGCATTAAAGTCATGTTCGGTGCCTACAACAAAGATTTCATTTATGGAAAATGAGACGTTTCTTAAAGAAGGGCCAGGAACAAGAACCCCAGTATAACATTTGCCTGCATGCAAGCTTTGAGTGTGTCAATGTAAATAAGAAAGCTCTATTCTGAACATCAGGGATGTCCTGCTTCCATTGTAAAACGGAGAGAAAAAAACATTTAGACTGTTAATCACTCTTGAAGAGTGACAGTCTCAACAGTTAAAACAGTTTTCTGTTTTTGTACTTTCACCATGGAATTAAACTCTACTTATTCCTTTGTAGCCTGTACAGTGACACCGCTACCCACTTAGTTTAAAGAAAGTAAAGACCGGAGTCAGTACACACCAAAGTATATAAACTAACATGCTACAATTTTCTTCAGCTTCCACCCCCCCCAATCAAGGGTGTCACAGAACACAAACCCCTTGTCATTTTTAATGTAGAACAAAAGGGAATCTTCAAAGTTATAGAGGAGACGACTACATTTTATCACTGTCATATGTTGAAAGCATGTCTCCATGCTTCAGATTTTCCTTTTTCATCAGCACTGTAGGTCTGGCTGTACAGGAGACTGCTCCCTCAGTGTCTTTCCCACTGCTCCCTTTGAAAAGTGCTGACACACAGCAGTTTGAAGCCTCAGCAGGAACTCCCACAGCTGATGCCTGACCAAGGCCTGGATACACATTTCAAAACCCACTAGCACAGCTGGAGTGTGTTCATTACTTCCAACTTTTGCACAGCCTTATAATACTTGTAATGCTAGCAAACCATCAGATTTTGGCTAAGTTTTTTTTATTTTTAAAAAGTATTATTGGTAATTTAGTATAAAATAAATGTTATAGGTATTGTATAGACTCACCAAGTGAGGACCTGTTTGGTGTTAACTACTGTATCAATTTCACTTAACTGCTCAGCATAAACTGTATGTCTATACAGTGAACAACCAGCAGGGAACATCACCCAAAACACTAAGTTTTCTTAAACCAGCTTCTGTAGCTCTGACACTTTTAATGAATTGGGAAGTTTGTTCTTTCTTCAAAAAATTCCCTTTAATGAAATTAGTAGAAATTCTTTTGAAAAAACTAGAAGCCTACAGTATATACAGTGCAACAAAATGACTACTATAGTCCTGGCTGAACCTGAAATGAAAATGGTAAAATCATGAATGCAGCTCTAAAATATTTTTTAAGAATCTTAAATGAAGAAAAGCTGAATATTTTTAGGTTGTAAAATTGGTTGAAAACATCTAGTCCATGTTATGGAGAATTGTGTTATCCAGAGTAATTTGTCATTTTGCAAAAAGTAACTGCTACAGTAGTTATAGCAAGATATCAGACCTTGCAACACAAATGTAATAGAAAAATGAAGTACAGCTTGAGCAACAAATCCCATTTTATATATCATAATATCAATATCAGTAACAGAGTCAGTTGTCCTCAGCTGTTGGCATTCAGAATGAAACCAGCCCAAATCACCATGTTTCATATCTACTACAAGCACTGCATCGCATACAGTAACTGCATGGATAGTTACTGTATAAGTGTAAGCAATTATTATTCTTATTATAGTTCATAATAAGAATAAGAACACAGTGAGGGAATCCAAGTGCATTGTGGGAGGAATTTTACAATAACCCAATATTTGGCACTGGAAAGGCGAGTAGTTTCAAGCTTAAACGAACTGTATCTTTACTAACACATTCAATATCTTGTCTTGAAGCCTGGGTGATTTTAAAACTGAAAGACATTATAGAACTGCTGTTACTGAGCCTACTGAGCATACTTCTACTGAGTGAGCCTACTGAGTACCCTGGGTAAGATGGCAAAGAGCACAGCAAAGTCTCGCTTCACTTGCTCTTGGCTTGAAGCACTGGTTCACATCGACAAGTTCAATGAGAAGACCTAAACTCCAACAAACAGTAACGTTGTACTGTGCACTTTTGTTCAATTTCAATATAGACATGTTCAGTAGATACGATTTCATTCTTCACTGGGAAGTAAACATGAGAATAACTTGACATTTAAAAAAAGAACCTTGACAACAGAAACAAGGCTTACATAGCTTCATAATATGCAATGACAAATGAGCGGTATTTACTAACCACAGCCTCAGCAATCTCTCTAACTCAAGGTGCAGCTGGCAACAAAATACCCAATTCCCATTTATACAAACACTAATTCTCATCAGACTGTCATCACACACCTACCCTTCCATGATACAGTTAGTTGTTCTGCAAAATACTTAACCATTCACCATATTTTAAGATGTAACTCAATTCTCTAATTGGAATTGTAAATATACCCATAGTATTTACCACTGAAAGTTATATTATTAATATTTATCATACATGTTATCCTAAGCTATTTTTAGAGACTAGGGGCATCACTGCTATTGCAGAGGCACATACAAAATGCTTCCCTGGTGTCAATAGAATCTTGTTTTGTTTTTGGTATGATCCTTACGATCCTTGCGGTTCAACTTATTCACAATAACACGGCAAGTCACTGGCTGAACAGGGGCTTGAAACCGCCATGTTAAACGCCTTCTACTGCGAGACTAACTCTACCCCACAGACCACTTAAGTCCTTTCAATTCCATGATTCCAACCAAGAAATCCACGTTTACAAGGCTTCAAACACACCGCTCAGTCTCAGTGTCTTGCACTAATTCCAATTCCTGCTTGAGACCTGATATTGTCCACACCTTCAGCTCAAACACATTCGGAGAACAGCCTGTGTATGGGGGGCTCTTGCTAATTTGCCCAGGGAACCGGCAGAGCCTCTTTCAGCTTCCCCATTACTCAAGCTGTGTGTTAATGAGCCTCCATTTGCAACCAGATGGGAGCAAACCAAAGAAGCCAAAATGAAATTATGCTGATGACGGGTGTGATAGCAATGAAATAACACGTTGCCAGCCTTGTTTTTTTTTTGTTTATGCAGAGTTGACGCTTGATTTGCCGAAACGGTATAGTTACAGGTGACCTCCCATCTGTACAAATCCGGCAACTGAACTGTTCTCACAAGCCGCACGTCTGACTGAGGCGTATCGATGGAATTAAAAAAAAAATGGCCAGAAGTCCAGGAGTATAAAAGATGCCTACCAGCATTGGACATCCGCCGCTCTCTCTCCCACTCCATCTGCTCCCTGTCATGCTGCTCATGGTGCTCTCGCTCCAGCCTCTCCCTCTCCAGCTTCTCCCTCTCCAGTTGCTCCTGCTCCAGCCGTTCCCTCTCCAGCCTCTCTCTTTCCAGCCGTTCCCTCTCCAGCCTCTCTCTTTCCAGCCTCTCTCTTTCCAGCCGTTCCCTCTCCAGCCTCTCTCTTTCCAGCCGTTCCCTCTCCAGTCGCTCTCTTTCCAGCCGTTCCCTCTCCAGTCGCTCTCTTTCCAGCCTGTCCCGCTCCAGCCTCTCCCGCTCCAGTTCCTTCAGTCGCTGCTGCTCCTGCAGCTGCCTGGAAAACAAGCAGGACAAAATAAATTCCAACACAAGAACAACAGTATTTTGAGATACAGAGGCACAAAAGTTGATTTCTTTTTCAGCACAGTGTCACTTGTCAAAATTTAAAGCATTGATCACAAAGTACTTCCAGGTCAAGGTCACCAAGGCTTAGTGTCCAGTTTCTGTGTCTGTAAGTCATTTCAGAAACCGTGATTATATTTCACTATCTCAACTGCTCCAGGCCCAGAATCAGGGCTATGCTGAAAAGAGCTTGTTTGGCTCAATTTTCTTTTTTTGTTAAGGAACCAAGACAGAATGCCACGCTTTTCACACCTCCATTACATTCAATTCATTGTGCTTTTCTGACTTGCCTAAAAAAATACTCATTGTGGACATTTAGTGCAACAGGCTCTGACTAATGCACAGCTTTAGTGGATAAGGCATTGGCGAAGTGTTGGCACTGTGGCTAAGGATCTGCGCCTGTGGCTGGAAGGTTGCCGGTTCAAATCCTGCGGCCGGTAAAGGAATCCTACTCCACTGGGCCCCCGAACAAGTCTCTATAATCCCAGTTGCTCCAGGGGCACCATATAAATGGCTGACCTAGCCTCTGACCCCAAGCTTCTCTCCCTGTCTGTGTGCCTGTGCGTCTCATGGAGAGCAAGAAAAAGACAAATTCCTAATGCAAGAAATTGTATATGGCTAATAAAATGATCTGATATTATCTAGTAACCCATTATAAAAACCCAGAATTACTTATCTTAACTTTCATGAGCAACTTAAAAACTGAGCTTTCCTAGTGTTAGATTATTCAATTAATAAAAGCCTGTTCATAACTAAAGCTGTTGCCTAAAGCTGTTATAGTTACAGTTATAGGAGACTAGAAGCATCTCTAAGAATTTAGAGAAAGTGTGTAACACCTGGCAGTGTAAACATTTCCAGCTTCAGAGCAGAGGGAATGTTTGCTGAGATATAGGGGGTCCCGGATTCCTGAGATCAAAAGCCATCATAAAGTGTACCTTGGTTTACCTAGTTAATCAAGTTCTGGATAAATGATTGTCAATCAGCAGCTCAGAAACACACCATATAAGACCACGTTAAGACCACAGACAGCAAAAGAAGACAAAAAGGTCAGACCATGAGAGAGAGAGGAGTAAGGAGGAGGTGGACCTTGAAGCTTGTGCCAGGTGAGACCCCTACTTCATGATAATCTACACAAAACCCCATTGGAGCCAAGTATTTAAACCTTGCTAGAGAGAGCTTGCTATTCTGTGTTTTTATGGAACTTTGATTTCCTTAATCAATAATACCTTGGTTAGAGATGTCTTTCCTGTTTAGGGGTATAAACATTATAAATGGAATAAATGGTGCATTTTTAGATTAGAGAGGTAGACTCCCAATTATTTTTTGGCATCTGAGATTGCAGGAGACAGATCTAATTGCAGGTTGTACTGCATTCTGTTTTATTTAGAAGGCAACATATTTCTTCTGTGGCCTCTGTACGTGTTATTAAAGAGTTGAATACTTAGTAGAAGTTGGGGTTTTCTGTGTGATTTGAATCTTAGGCCCCTAATTTGTGTGTTGTTTGTTTTGTTGTTCAGTGTAGTGTTTGCATTGTCATTAATAATATTTAACAAAGTATGCCCAAATTATATTTTTCACCAAAGCTGTGCCAGCAAACAAAGCACTCACATGCCTCTCAATATACGAAAAGCTTGGGTACATTCTGGATAAATCATTTACAAGCTGGGGGTTATGAATATTTGTTTTGCTAACCGTCTAAACCCCTCAGTTAATTCCTGATACTCACCATTTTCGTAGCCCCCCATTTTTAACATACGCTCTCAAACATTTTATTGCGTGCAAAGAAACTGTTTTATGCAGTGAACAAGAGAACCAGTCCAGTGTTATAATTTATCATTTTTGAGTATTCAACTCAAAAACTGATGCAAACTGCACATTCTTATTTGAGTACACTTAAAGAGAATTTGTCTCTTAATTGAAAACTTGTCCCATACAGTTAATTCTATTTCATGGGACACTTGTTAAACAAAAAAACATGTTCTTTGTCTTTACTAATGTAATAATGAAACAATAGGGCCCTTGTTGTACATTGTAAAAGATGGACAGTCATGAAAAGGAGAAAAAGCAGTTCTCAATCCAGAACAGGTACCAGGATTGACCAGAAGAGGGCAGCAGGAACCTACAGCAAATATACAGCTCTACCTGAAAAGGAATGATAAAAGCTTTATTGGCCCCTAGTATCTGAAAGTGATTTCAAAACCATAAAAGGTGCCAAGGCCACATAGCTATGCAAGATAAAAGTATTCACATGAAGGATAGCACAATTTCTAAAATTACGACTGTATAAGCATTCTGTAAACACATCATTGATCAGTGATGACTCAAGGTGCTGTACAGAATCCAAATCTTCTGCTCTTTTACTTCTCTGTACATTATCTCTTTCCTTAAAGTGAACGAATGATTCCAAATTAAGATTAAAATCACCATTCCTATTACTGTTTATACAGATAAACTTTTGGTGAAGACTATTTTTTTAATCTTCAAAGTTAGTAAAGAATCACAGATTACAGGTACTTTACTTTAAGCAAGACATGGGGGCATACAGTATGTAACCACAGTAACTGTTAAACAGTGATAATCCACAATATATACCAACAGGGGAGCACCTATCAAGTCACTGTCAAAAAACCTTAAGCATAAAGAACATCCTTTTGCACAATATTAAATATTTAGAAATTTTAGAAATAAATCCAATTGTGTTTTGCATACATACTTTGTACCTGGCCTTCACATCACTACACTTGATACATCCACATCTAAGCTTCTAAAGTCATTTCTATTCAACAGGAAGGTGACAGAACAGGCCCAAATGGATTCCCAAAGCTTTTAAAGGAAATAGCACCGAGTTCAAATGTGTTCGAAACAGTTGGAGTATCCTGTTGTAAATCACACAAAGCACTAAAACAGCAGTGGAATCTTAAGCCTGCTATGCAAAATCTGCCAACTCAATCCCCCTTCACTGAGCTGGAACACTATTTGTCTCTTAATGAAGAATGCCTTTCTGGTACACAGTAATTGAAAGTTTACAAAATGCAGTATTCAACAATCCTCTATTAGACAATCTCAAAGCTTCCCACACAGGAACATGAATAAAGGCAGCCCATCAAGCAGGGACTGGGGCTTGACTCAAAGCCCTGGATTTAGATATTGTCCAACCTATTCCCCGTTCATAATGCCACATTCAATTTTTGACTCAGCAGGCAGCCCACGCATGGCAAGATCACGGTAGAGTCCTAAACGTCAATGCATCTTGCTCGCGTCATAATCATGACTGCCTTCCTGCTCTACCATCTGGCTAGACCCTATTTACACCTGGTGAACTAATCAGCAGATTGAGTTTTCAAATCAAAGCAAGCTGAAATCCCAGTAGCCTAACCTCACCGAGAACCTAATCAAGAGGACTGCTGCTGTACATGAAGAATCAACAGAGTCACCCCTGTGAATCCAAGAAACCCCAAGACCAGTTAGGCATATCCTTAGCAGAAAGTAGCAACTTGGCAAAGATGAGCCTGAAGCCCATAATCGCCTTCATATCCCAGAAAGTCAATTCTTGCCATAATTCTCTCAAAGATGTCTGTCCCATGAGCCTTCAGAGCTCACAAATCAGACAGGAGGGGCTACACAAAAAGCACCAGTAAGGAAAAACTTCTAAAGCTACTGCAATAGTTCAATTGTTGGCCATTTTGTTGTGCCTCTATCCACTGCAACTGTCCCTTTACATATCTTTCTGTAATTTGTTTAACAGATATGTAATACATTTTTATCTACTGTTAGGTAAATGTATTTTTTGGCATTTTAAAATTATAGACTTGAACATGTGCTTCTTTTTGAAGCTTACATATAACCTCTATGTTTTACTAGTAGAGGTTAATTCCATGCTGAAAAACAGAAAGAAAGGAGGAGGAAAAAAAACATTTAAGCTGTGAAGCTGTGTACTCAGGCTTTTGAAATGTTGTATTTTGTCATCTGGCTTCTTTCACCTTTTTAGGCTACATTTCACCTCTATTTGTTTCTTTACATAACCTGGCAGTCAACACCAGCCTATAATGACAGAAATAACAGAAGGAAATAACACAACTGGATTCCTGCCAGTCTTGTGTCCAGTGTTCTGATTATCTGTATAAAGTGGACAAAAGTTCAAAAGACACCCGCTATTAAAAGGATGAGTTGTGTTGCAAACCACGTGATTTGCCCTCCTTGTAAAGAGACAAACTTTTGATTCACATGAGAGCACAATGAGAAGTGACATTTTTTGAGTCGCCAGAGTTAGTGAAACAGACAGCAAGCCAAGAGGGGCTATCGATTGGTACAGGAGGTCCAACACAGGCTGGTCTCAGCCCTCATAAAACCCCAGTACTGATCAAATAGACACGACACAGCATGGTATACCATCAGCAAGGTAAAAAAAAAATGTGTGAAACTACGAACTGTTACCATGGTATTTTCTTGTGTCTGCCCTTAGTCAAAAAGAGCAGAAAGGTAAAGGGTCTAGATTCCCCTTAATCCATATACTGTATATATCAAGAAGTCTAAAAATAAGTTGCCCACAAAATGCTTTTGCAATGACAAGCAAGCACTTCAAACTGTCTCTACACTCCACTCATTATTTAATGCGGCAAAGACATTCCTTTTTGTTCTTTCCCTGAGGACGCTTCTCATTCTCTATGACTTCATTACAGAAGACACGGCTGTGCAAGAGACAATTTCACTGCTCTGCTGGGTATTAAGTAACAGCCATTGCCCACATCCGCTGAAATCCCAAACGGCATGATTAAGTTGCAAAGAAAAGTTAATTAAAAGGCCAAAGGATCTCCATAACATTCATAACCTAATTTTTGGAAGAAAAGTAAAGGAAAATGTGCCAATGGCATGAAAAAGCTCGCGCCAGTGATATCCTGCAGTGGGGATTCCCCCCAGCTTGGTGTTACACTG